GGGTACTATAAGTAGACAATAAGCCTCCGATACTTTACATAGACCTAAGCAATATAATAATCTTTGGCTCCTAACAGTATCCTGAAAGGCCCAGCCTATAACACTACTATAGTTAACCCTTTAAATAGTCTACTGAATCTATAATAAAACGTCCCCGATTTACCTTTCTTTAAGAAAAAATCAGCTTTGCGTTATTACTTTTAGGCTTCATTTATTGTTTCTCGTTTTTTAAGCACATAAGAGGGGTGTTCTTCTACAGCGCTACTTCTCAGTATTTTTTATTCTAGATTTTTATCAGATAGTTTTATCTAAGTCTAGAGCCCTCTTGTAATGCTTAGAAGCTATTAGCAGCGTTACGCGCGCTATCGCGAATAGACTTATGCTAGAAATACTAAACTCTGCTTATGTAGAACAACTCTGCGTGTAGCTGATTGCCAATCTAATTAGAGCTCCAGGTATCACGCACGCGCTCCGAAAGATAGTAAATTTGGCTGATGATCGGGAGCAGCACAAGGACTTAGCCGGCCTGACTTTAAGTTAGTCAACAAACAAGTATCAGGTGTCCCCGCCTAAACCTCAGCCTTAGCCTTGCCTCCCGTTAATTAACTCAACTCCCTGAAAAACTAGGATTCGCTAGCCTATAAGATTATGGATGGAGCGGGCCGGTCCTCCTCCCTGTTGGCAGTAGCGAGCTAGAAGTATGTAGTTTGTCGTTGTATGCCATTTTACTGCACCAATCAGGCATCAATATGTTGATTGATATATTGAGCGCAAGAACGATCACAAACCGCTGACTAAGTCTAGGCAACATCCTTTTACCCCTCTTCCAAAAATTTCAAACTATTCCCCTTCTTTTAGTACTAGAACTAACCTAATCGCAAGCGTTCATGTGCATCAGCGAATTACACGGTGAGCGTCGTAAAATGATTCTATAGCACCTTTCCAACATCGAACCTAACCTGCCCGTAGTATATTGGGGGGCGCCTATACCATCTTGGAAAGAACTTCTCACAAGAGCGAAGACACGTTCTAAAATCAGTTATCGGTCGGGGCTTAGCCTATTCGTACATGACTTCATTTTCGAATATGCAGGCCCTCCGTCCTGCTATGGATACATATGGGCCCTATGCATCCGAAGAAGCTACGAATTATCCACCAGTTGAAGTTATCCACCCGTCGATGCTAATAGATGGAGGCACATTCAAATATTCTTATCCAAATGAACCAAAGGACTGGCTGCAACGTTGTCTCAATGACCACAACGCGTGCAATAATAGGATCAAGCCTAGTTTCGAGGCATTCCTACCAGAACGCCTCATCGATGTTGGCAGTGCTATAGAACCCCTGGCACCTCGTTTAGTCATCACCAATGAATTCAAAATGTCAAGAGATACATAGCACTGAGTCACAGATGGCCTTCACGTCACGTACTTAACCAGTTGGACATTCAGACGACCGAGTGTTCTTTGTCAGAAAAGAAATCGAAGTAGAGAAGCTATCAAAGACGTTTAAGTTCGCGCTTGGGGCCTGTCGATGGTCAGGTGCTCAATATCTCTGGATCGATTCCATCTGCATTATGCAGGTACGAATGGTCATCAATCAACATCAATTATTTTAACTGCAACACTAATCCTCTCAAATGACTCCAAAGAAGACTGGGAGATACAATCAAAGCAAATGGCTCGCATCTATCGCTACACGTTCTGCACTATATCCGTCAATATTAGAGAATCCGTTGACCACCCTCTCTGGTCTGGATGCGGCTTTACAGAAGATCTCTCATCCACTGGCTGGGTTGCTGACTCCTTCAATTCACGAAGATGGAAAGACTCGCAGTCTATATTCAAGGGCTTTCTGGAAGGAGGGGAGCTTGGAGCCCGTGGATGGTGCCTCCAGGAGCGACAGCTTTCACCACGGATCTGCCATTTCATGGAATCTGGCATGATGATGTGGGAATGCTACTGCTACATTAGGGCTCTTGGAGGACCGAAACAATTTGGTCCGCCTCATAGTGAAGCAGAATCAGAGGGGTACAAAACTCGGATGGTGGACATTGATGCGCCCTTGGACTCTAATCATCAAATCCGGCAGACTATGTCTAACTGGTACCATGCTTTGAGTGACTAGTGCCTTGTGCGGTCTATAAACAGGTGTGGCACATGCTAACGGCTTTGAGTCACGCTCTGCTGGGTGATGCTTTATCTGCTGCGCTGACTTGAAATGCTTAACGTCCCTCCTTACGTCCCCGAAAACCTTGTGAGCCAGCATAAGCCACTCCCACATGAGGTCGTGCCTGTGATCCCCAATTTCTCGCGCTCCGAATGGCTAATTCCGGCTCAGAAGGATTTCGGCCTCCCAGGGAGGGATGTTGCTAGGTGTCTAAGCAAAGCTATTGGGCCCTCAAAACAACATCATCTTACTGAGCTTGACGAGCACCTGCGTCAAGCAGCATCTTGACCACCTGCTTGTGGCCTTCAGATAAAGCTGCCTGTAGTGCGTTGCCGTAGGCTCCACCCTGCGCGTTAATGTCGGCGCCTTCATTAAGCAGTATCTTAACTACCTGCTCGTGGCCTTTAGATGAAGCTGCCTGTAGTACATTGCCGTAGTATCCACCCTGCGCGTTAACGTCGGCGCCTTTGTCGAGCAGCATCTTGACTACCTGCTCGTGGCCTCTAAGTGAAGCTGCCTGTAGTGCGTTGCTGTAGCGTCCACCCTGCGCGTTAACGTCGGCGCCTTTGTTAAGCAGCATCTTAACTACCTGCTCGTAGCCTCTAAGTGAAGCTGTATATAGTGCATTGCCGTAGCGTCTACCCTGCGCGTTAACGTTGGCGCCTTTGTTAAGCAGCGTCTTAACCACCTGCTCGTGGCCTCCTTCTGAAGCTGCATGTAGTGCATTGCCATAGACTCCACCCTGCGCGTTAACGTCAGCGCCTTTTTCAAGTAGTAGTCCTGTAATTGTATTCAAGCCGAACGAAGCTGCATAGTATAGTGGCGTCGCTATGTCTCCTAAACTTTTCCCTAGGTCTGGTCCCGAATACATGTCTGGATCGTATAGTTTGATCCAGTTAAGATATGCAGGGTTGTCAGATGACATCAGAATTATCGCAAGTTGACTCCCTTCTGTCTCGTCCCTTGTCTTTTGAAGATGACTGATCCAGAACTCAGCTGTGTACCTTGCGAGCGCTGATGCGTTGAGAACCTCTGTCGACAAGGGCTGCTGGAACTGGAGCAGATACATCAAAGAGCCCTTCATTATCGTGTTTTGGCATTCAGATTCTTGCATGCTATACAGCTTTGCCTGTCCTTGCTTGATTCTCTCCGACACGAGGTACTCCTGGACAGAATAGTGCGCCAAAGCAATGATGCACTCTTCAGGTCTTGATCTTCCCTCTGCCTCGCTCGTTGTAATAGTGACGAGACTAGAGCAGATGTTCAGCGCTTCGAACGGGTCCTCTAACACTTCATCGCGGTCGAACGCCGGATCTCGCGCCACATCGATAGCAACAACTTCAGCGACCTCCTTAACTGATAGCGGCCGCGCAGAGAATGTTAGCCACTGTAGAATGCGTATCGCATACTTACAGTGTTCCTCGCTTATCGTGCAGAGAATGCGTTCGTATGTCTGATCTAGCGTTCGCGGCAGAGTGGCAAGAGATTTGCGCAGCATCGCTCGATTGCAACACTTTCCTAGTGTGTCGAGCTGGCATACAGCCCATCGAAACCTGCCTTGTTAACTTTAGCTATACACAAAGTGGGTGAAGACACGTACATCCCTTGAGCTCCGTGCATCAGGGCAGCCTCAATCTCTTGCCTGATAGCAACGTCCTTGTTCCATTTCGTCAAAGTCTTGTCATTAGATAGCCGTTGTTGAACGTATCGTTGTATATCCTCATCTACTACATCCCTCTGAAGACAGATAGTGTCCTCTTCCTTGACGTAGCTTACTAAAGAACTCTCAATATCCCGCTCTTTCCGGCTTGTCATAAGCAGATGCACGCTGTCAAGTTGCCGTCTAGCCATAGTCTCAAGTGCATCCATCAACTCTAGGCGTTGTGTACACTCATCAAGCGCGTCAAGAACAACGTAGACGTGTGTGAACTGTTGCATTGCCTGTGGTATTACCTCTAGAAGCTCGTGCGATGATGGCTGTCGTTGTCCGTTATTACAAGCTAAGAACAATGCGTTAACGCCCTTAGGCATTATAGACGAACGCTGCAGCAGCTGTGAGAGCAACGAGCGGAGCATTAGCTCTAGATCCTGCTTCTGTTTATCTTTAAAGTCGAAATAGAAGTACACCGTCACCATCTCAGCGTCCTTATGGCAGTGCTGCAGCAGATACTCGACGATGGTAGAGCTTAGGATAGTCTTTCCGCATCCTGGAATCCCATAAAGCCACAGTCGCGACGCAGCACTCTTCTTCCACTCCGTGAACCTTGAATTCTGTAGCAACCAGAGTCCAGTCTCGGCCTGCCGCTCTTTGTGGGCTTTGTAGTAGTTTGTAGATGGATCAGGCGCAGAGAGCCAGCTGCAGATTTCGCCAAGCCTCTCTTCAATGTCTTTCGTGGACTTTTGTATCTTACGCCGCAATCGTTCTATCGCTTTGTCTTTGCCTTCCGTATATAGCAATGGCATGCAGATGTCAAAGATGCCTAACAGACAGTACGCGATGTCTTCTTCGCGCGTTGTCTGGCGTTGTTCCGCCCAGGAGAAACGGTCGTCTACGCTAAAGTCAGACAGTCTAGTCCCTGACAGAGCTGTAACAGGTATGCCTGTGATCTCGTGTATGGTGTCTTTCAGGGACTGCTTGTCCCCAAGAAGCTCTCCCTCTTTCGAGTAGAAAGCAACTGATGCAGGAGCAAGCAGTTCCTGCAGTGTCCAGCCTCTGGTAAACCACCTGCTCTTCCTGAAGGCCGGTTTCCACCTTCGGCCCACTTCACTGTATGCATCAGTAGTGCTGCATTTAACATCTGAAAGATACACATAGCACTTCTTCGCGTTCTGATACCAGCGAAACATGGAGTTGATCGTTTCCTGGAGCTCTTGGCTGTTCGACTTGTCGATGCAGCAAGTGTCAACCCAGAAGTAGTCCAGACCGTCTCGCTTTGTCTGTTGCGCGCAGAAATCAATTTTGTCCCAACCCGCCTTGCGCCTGGCACCAGTGTCGTCTGCATTGTCGAGGTTCTTTAGGTCATCAAAGATCACCTCCTGCTCCCCCCAAGTGTGCGAGAGGATTGCATAGTCGGGAACCTTCTCGTTACCAATGTATTCCTCCGCCCATCTGAGCCTCCCGTCGATTGCGATGTGCAGCAATCGCATTGAATTGGGGTACGTTCTGTGTGCGCGAGCGGCAGAGGAAGATCTCGTAGCCTCGAGGCCAGCTGAAGGACTCGGTGTTGCGAAGCGCCCTGGTCGCCGTAGGTATAGGTAATCCACCTGTCCAGTGTGTTGTGAAAGCGATAGGATAGTGTGGAGTACAGCGTAAGAAGAAACAGAGTTGCAAGCAAGCTACAGATTAGAATGCTGGTGGTAAGGCTAAGCTGTCACTCGAGCGTTCAGAGCGGCAAGCGCAGCCTACTATGCCACGCCGTGAGGCTGAAGCAGGGCTGACAAGTCATACACTACTAGTACTAGTACTAATCGCGCGAAGGAAGCAGCTAAGCCACAACTGCAATCAGGACAGCAGCCCTCGCTTGTGGTGTGATGCACGATATAGAAAATAGAAGAGCAACAGGAATTAACGCATAGGCTTGCGTGTAGCTTCGCTCCAATTGCATTTGCAAGGGGACAACGGCTGACTTTTGTGAGAGGGATGGCAAAGCTTCAGCAGTCGGTGCAGCACGCTGACTCTTTGCGAGAAACACCCTGACCTCGCAAGTCGATCAATGCGCAGCCACGACTAGTAGTAACATCACTGCCACCACAGCGCAATATGGCATGACGAATGCCTCCATCCAGCGCTGACTCCTTGAAGCATGCGACGACCTGCGAGTGCTACGCAGCGTGCAGTCGACTGTATCCACCCTCGGCTTGCTTTACTGCAGTCACTTACGTATTCCAAAGTGCACTGCGCTGTCTCCACGCGAACGTATTGGCAGCTCTTTCGGCTCTATGCATTCGACTCTTGCTATTCGAGACGGCGTACAAACTTGTCACAAACACGGTCACCTAGTAGATAATCACCACAAGGCAAGACCGGATGCATGATCACTGCTGAGTGGGAGCGAGCACGACAATGAGCACAAAGGCAGTTCAGGCAATTGTTGTTATGGTCGCTGCACGCACTTACTCAACATACGCGTAGATGCTTCTACAAAGCTGGGAGCATGCGCCACATCTATTCTAGGCTGCACAGTAACGATTTAGTGTACTAAGATAGAGATTCTTTACATTAGAATACATGCTGACTGTGCCAGCAGTAATGCAAGCTTAGTATGCATTCCAAGAGTCGCTTATGTGATCCAAAGGCCAGGGCCTGTTACAGGGATGATCTATTGCAGACGACAGAGCTTCCGGCATGCACATCTTCATGTCGAAGTGAGCCTAAAGTATTGTGAGGATACAAGTCAGAGATCGTCCTTCTACGTTAACCTTCTAATTTTTGTATGAACGCGAAGAGTCGCGAACGGACAGGGGTGACTGAATAAAGTAGAAGTATATGGAATAATACCACAAGGGGTTAACGTTCGTTGCATTGACAACCTTCAACAGCCTTCATACATTCACAGTGTCTTTGAAGTGGGCTGACGGCTGCCTTCACATCGTTCCTTTCATGTGAATGTATGAACCTCACTCATAAATTCGATACACGAAAATTCTTTAGCAACTTTCAAAAGAGCAAGTCGTGCACTAACAATGGTTCTGAGTGTATACAGAACTTTCTCCTACCTTGATTGCTCTTTATCGAGAACTTGATCCACAGCTTATTATAAAGGTTCCTCTCTATCGAACCATTCCTCAACATATTAGAAATTGAGATTCAGCTTTTCATCTCTCCAAAGTTTATCATCTCGGTACGCCCAATAATTTCTCAAGAGAAGATACTGTCAGCCTTTGATTACATTCGGACTTAACACAACCCTGTACCAACACCATGAACTCCGGTCGTCCTTCCTACCATGAAATTCCCGATTTTGGAAGTAGGATCTATATGTACCCTGAAATCAAGTGGGAAGAGGCCGACAAGGCAGTTCAGGTGACACGCCAATCTCAAGTACGTTTCGGATCCATGGGGAAAGACAACGAAAGCGAGCAGATGCAGAAGAATCTTCTGCTGCGCTTTCCACGTGAGATCCGCAATCTCATCACCGAGTACGTGCTAAATTTGAGTGATGACGCTGCAAAAAACGTCCTCATTGTCAGTCCTCCAAATCCAGAAGTACCCCTCTGCGAAGGTTTAAGCATACTTTCTTTGTGTAAGCAGATCACCGCCGAGGCGCGCTCCATGCTCGAAGCCCGCGCTACGGCCTCCATCCCCATCATGCCTGACATGAATTTCCGCAAACTGGTTTCCGACGTCAATGAGAATGGCAACGCATCACTATCAGAGATACAGAGTACCGTCCTTGCTGGCCTGACATCCTTCAGGTATGCGCATTTCCATCTTCACGTCGACCACATATCCTCCCCCTTTCCCGGGTGCGGCGGGCGACACCTTGGTGTAAACATGGCTCACATCCAAGATACATTGAAAGAGGCGGTCATGATCTGGCGAGCTGCATCTGAGCACAACTTTGCTCATTTCAGGAAGCAAGGTTTGAAGCGAAAGGCAGTTGTGCACCTCGATGACCTTTTCTCCGACTGGGTGGACCCGATCGAACGAAGTAAGAGGCACGGTCTTAAGGATCTTCTCAGACTCATGGATTCTGATAAGACTACTGATTGGGAAGTTCACTATTATCATTGCAAACATAGACATGGGACCTGGCGGAGTGGGTTACCCCTCCCAGCTGTTGCATACTAAGTTCAATTGGCACCGACATAGCTTTCGGCCATTTCCTAGCATCAAACTGGTTCCAGAGATATAGGGCGAGCTACACGACAGGCTGAAAGATGCGGGCTTCTTCACGCTGCGCACCTTGCCAAGCAGCACGTTGTGGCCGTCATGGCCTGAGGATGTACCTTGGAGGATGTGTCCCAGGGTGAGGTCGGACGAGTTTGCGCCAACTGAGAATAGCACTACATAGTTATTTGCACATGAGAATCTGCCAAAGCAGCTGGAGAAAATAGCACTAATCTCATTTACCGTAGCCCGTAAACCAATCATATATACACTAGTCCCCCTTTCATGAAAAAGTATTTACAAATAATCAACATCCACCCAATTCTCCTTGTCAAAAGTGCTCCCAAACAAATCCGACGCCTTAACCGGCGCACTAGCTTGTGAACTCCAGCTCACCCTCGCCGAAGTATTCGCTCCAGGCCCGAAATTCCGATACTCTTGAAAACTAACATTGGCCGTACTCTGCACATTGTCCCACTCCGACCATCCCCGTGGCGTCACCACGTCACCCAGGTAACTCTGCTGGAAAAGAACCCTGCTAAACGGCCTCCAGGGGCGTCCCAGATCAACCGAGCCAGGACCACTGGACCCAGTAACATTGACCTTGTTGAAGACGTAGAAACTCTTGTTTTCCTCCGAGTCACGGCCGTTTGCGACGATGAAGCCAGTGCCGATGGTTTCAATGTCCAGTTTGTTGAAGAAGGCGACGGCGTGGAGCCCGAAGATGAAATCCACGGCGCCGTTTACAAAGGATTTGGCGTAGATTTGACGGCCTTCATTGGCGTAAATGGTGTCTTGGTAGCCGGTGAATTGGCAGCCGTAGAAGCCTTGGTTTGTGTTTTGGGCGCTGAGCGCGAGGGCTTGGGAGCCGGCGCCGAAGGTGTTGGCGATATTGAGGTTGTAGAGTTTGACGTTGGAGGTCCAGAGGCGGAGGGTCGATGTTGCGTCGTTGTTGGCTAGACCGGGGGTTTTGCGCGAGAGGTTGTAGGTGAGGGTGACTTGGTTCTTCTTGTAGGTAGTGGAGTCATTGGTGTAGCCTTGGATTGTTAGGGGGCCTGCGAGCTGGCGTATGTAGACTTGCTCGGTATATGTGCCGGGGAAGATGAAGATCTTCTGGGCGTCCGTCTTGTTGTGGAGGCCCGCTACGGCGGCACTGATGTTAAGGTAGCTGTTGGGATATGCGCCTGATGCATCGACGACTAAGGCTCCTTGGTCCGGTTTCGTGCGCACTTGCTTGTCGGCGGAAACGACTCCGAGGACACAGACTAGGACGGCAGACAAGGAAATGTGCGATCTCATGATGTTGGATTAGTGATGCTTTGCACACAGGGTTAAACTCTCGAGCAAGGCCGGCACATACTTATACTATCATATTACAGTTTGGCCTAGATTTAGGAACAGGACTAGATTGGGATTTACAGTTCATCCGTTCTCACTACGCTTGCGAGCCAGGTCTCGGCCGGACTATTAGAGTAAGGATTGCCTACATAGTACGCATGAACTCGATGCTGAGCATGGTGGCGTGGCTAAATCAACGAGGCCGGCGGATGATTGGTGGCACAAGGGGTTCCGCTCCGTCTTCGGGAAAATCTGGGGAAATCTCATCGTTAAATCGCCGAAGCAACCGTATCCGGAAACGCGCGAACGGGAATCATGGGGGATGTGTCCATGCTTAGGTTGTTTACTACAACGGTAGATGCATATAGGTAGTCAGCGTGTCAGACTAAGATGTCATTGTTGACAGACAACGCGTCTTCTTGTAAGTATAACCGCTAGAATATACTTCATCGTGTTTATAGGCTTGCGTATACGTACGCAACCCTATTAAAATCTGACACTTCCTAGTCATGGATTCGAGCGAACCATGTCATGCCGAGCAATTGCCTAATTTCTTCCGCTCTTGGCTTGCTCAATTTCCACAATTAATGTCCACTCCGCCTCTGTCCGAGGTTCTGGGAGATCGGAGGCATTTACTTCATCGCCCAATTCCCACATCATCGTAGCTTTCATTTGCTCCGACCGATATTCTTCTCTGTAATCACTAGCGGATATCGAAACACAAGCCACCCCTGCAATCTAACTCGTATAAAACGACCCATATAGGGAGACCGGAGCCTTACTCTAAAAGACCGATTAGGCTGGGTGCGTAATACACTAATGATGGGTTAGCCGTCGCCTTCGTCTTCACTTTCACTTTCACCTTCACCACCGTTTGCACAACAATGGGTGCTTGGCTGTCCAAACAATGACGCGCCACCTATAATACCGCTTTCCATGAGCATCTTACCCCTTATTGCGCAACCATTTGTCAGTGTCAAGTAAAACCTTAACTGCATCAAGTCTGTGAGGCAACACCGTCCGACAAGCAAGGTCCTCGTCTTTTTTTTTTCTGTCCAACAATTTCCTTCCAGTCAAAGCCATCAAAAAAATGCAGTCGCGCCATCTCCCAATAAACTCTATTCTGTTCCATGACTACCATGAGCCTGCTTCAAACCCGGCTACAAGCTCCAACCGCCCCCAGAGCGCAGCCCTGGTTAATGTGCAAGATGCGTCCGATTTAAGCATTACGGCGCTGCCCCGGCCACCTACCGTCACTATCACGACTACAAGGGATGGTACTTCGAGAGAATCATTGTGGAAACGACTGCGTGCGGCTATCAGCGGGTGGTTGTGTTTTGGGAAAAAGAGTGAAAAGAGACGGAAACGTGAGCCGGAGGAGGGTGCGGAAGTCAAGTACCAGTGAACTCAGAAGTGTCACGGCATGTGGGACGGGAAACGTCAATGCCACTAATAGACGCAGGAAACATGGTCGGTAATATGTACAACAACGGGCGTAATGGGCGGGTAATGCATTAGGAAAGGGTTGTTAATATCGGTAAACGGGTGATTTTGGATTGTAAGAACATTCAGGGAGAAGGCGTAATGAGAGACGAAAAGCTCTTTTTCGCTTTATGAGTAGCCGACTATGACATTAGAAGAAGATACAATGAACTTGCATTACCACGTTTACGAGAAGGCCGGTCTTTAAACATGACATGTCCCCGACGTACTAAGCCCTTAGTTCTGGTTTGAAGATGTAATAGTGGTAGTTGTAGACTCGACAGCCCAACTATTTGGCGCAAGCCACCACTGATCCTTAGTCTTCCCACTTTTTGAGCTTCCACTCGAGAAGAAACCAGGTCTCTCGGGCTTCTCGACTTTGACCTCTACGTCCTTCATCTTCACGATTCCAGAGGACTCCACATCGAGAGTAGCGGAATCGTTGCTTTTGTAGCCGTTCTTGTACTTGCGGCGGTAGGCATCGCCATCGCTGACAATCTTGTCGAACTTGCCCGACAGGCTGGGGAAGGCAAGCAGGATGAGTGCCTTGATGTTGGGCGCGCATGAGACGATGACGGCAAGGTGGTTTTCGATGACGGAGCAAATCATCATAGAAGCGAAGCGGAACGGAAAATCCGGGTTCTTGGCTTGCTGGTCCACGAAGTAGACACGTGCAGCACTTGCTCCAAGGACCAGGCCTCCTAGAGCAAAGAGGCAGTTGACGGCAATGCGGTGAGACCGGTGTAGATGGACATTCCAGGTAAATATTACTGGCATGATGTAGAGGACTATATCGTTCAAGAGCATGAAGATCGAGTTGTAGTAGTTGTATGAGTTGGTGTCGATGCAGAATCCTTCAATCTCGTTGTTCCAGAATTTCTGGACAGGGAGACATTGAAAGATGCCAATGATGACGCATGAAAAACCAAACATGAAAGCCAAGACGTGCATCACATATATAAATATGTAATGCGAGTGTTCGAAAGTCAGCTCCGAGTAAAAGCAAAGCAACGAATGCTTCACAGCCCAGTTGCACATGAAGTAGAAGAACAAGGATGCCATGACCATCTTTTTGACATAATGTTAGCAGAAGAAAACGAAAGTAGAGGCTGTAGAGGCGAACCTTGAGAAAGGGAGTGATATTCTCAGGTGGAATTGCATCGAGGGTCAGGCCTCCACCAATATGTGTGCTGGCCATCAGGATGATCGAGAGCATGATGGCACAGAATGCTGCGTATGCAGCGAGAGCTTGCAACCGTCAGTAAAGCCGATCAAGACATGTTCGCGGTCAACCTACCATCGTGCCAGCTAAAGCTGCTCATCATCCGAAACCTTCTCCCAACACGACAGCTGATAGCCAGCAAAGTGAGCAAGATCAACGTTATGTTGACGCCGATGATGGCGGGCTTCAGGTTGTCTGACATGGCTAGTGATGGAACAAAGTATCAAGAGGTTGATGACCATGAAACGCAACCCCTGGCGCGTCGCTTGGTGTTTATATGCGCTTTTGCGGATCTCGTAAATCGCATGGCTTTTGATGTACCTGTCCGACCATGTTTATCAAGGCACGGGCTGCGGGTAGAAGCGTGGCTGCCCCGTGTTGGCGCCGCTGTCACATACCGCACGGCACGGGAGTGTGAAGGGTCAGTTTAAAGGGACTAACGTGAACAAAGACCCGGCGCAGTGTGGAGTGGCGCCTATAGTGTGATGGCGTAGGTCCCGAGGCGAGGAAAAGCATTTAAGTGGATGGTGTAGGTCGGTTGGCTGGTAAACGTTTTCTGATGGTTAGCTTGTATTTCATCCCAATGGGTGGTTAGCCTATTACGCTCAACGGTATTGCTTTTCTGATGAAGCTGACCCCAGCCTCCGCGGGCTTTGGGGTATCAAAACAATGAGTTTCTATCGTCGAAGAAGTGTTTTGGAAGTTACTGGAGTGCAAGAATAATTTGACATCGCCGCTATCAAGACACATGTAACCACTATAAGTAACACCATGGGCTGCTGGAGAAATAGTGTGGTTGAATCTTGGATGCCATTCAGGTGGACTTGTACAGGCTTGCACTTTGCTTTTTCGACATCTTCTCCGCGCCAGACTGTTAGTTTATTTTTTTCGCGATCCAAGTGGCTAGGCAGTCCCTTTTTTCGTGGCAGCGAACATTATCGATACTCTTGCCGTCATATGCGAAATCGCCGCCGCCACCTGCGCACAAGGTGCTCAATTAGGATTAAGTCCTCGTTCTCAGAAGATATCCGGGCTGTTTCAAGATCGAAGTGAATGTCTTGGAGAGCATCAAAATAGCCCAACGATCGAGTGTTGCTACCAGTGGCAAAACGGAAGAGGGCGCTGCGCTAATCGTAGAGTACGTTCTAGATACTCGAAGAGAGCGCCCGTGAGCTCAAGGGCACTCTTACTAGCCTACAGCATTGTCTGGGGCAGGGGGTATGATTGTTGGGAAGTGGGGTATTCTGGTTGGGGTACACTAGAATCGATGCCAGGGCCTGATCTCAGGGACAAGGAGCATTGGAGATCAGTGTATTCAGGGATAGCCCACAGCAAAGTTTGCCGATATTGATAGGCATGGTACGCGAGTCCACGGAGCATGCCAATGCTACACCAAGGCCTCTAGGAATGTGATCTTCTAAACAAGCATGTAATTCGCCAGTGTTGCGAAACGATTGGAGCTTGGGCAAAAAAATCACAACCATAGCTAAGCTGTTGTCGATCCGACGACAGACTTGGTTGCTACGTCATGTGCAGGCGACAATGGCAGGCTGTAATGAGATGGCTGCAGCGAGCCCGAAAGGGCTGTGAGGTACGGTTTCATAGACCGAGAACGAGACTCAAGCCCAGTGGGGTTAATTATCTAACAAGAGCGGGTAGAGTGTTCAGCTGAAGCGGAGGAGGCTTAGTGCACGACAGAGGGCTGGATCCCATTATAGGCAGGATCTAAGTGCACTCTGGACCCAAGAACCACTTGGCACGGTGCTTATACTAGTGGATACTCGCAGTTTGAAGTAAGAACTTGAGATGTTATTGTGTCGCAGTACAGAGTAGGCATGCATGTAAGGCTATGGCAAGGCTATCCCGAGCTTTGCCTCGGCCACCGAACGAAGTCCGCGGCTATCTGACATAATCCCTCACTAAACTACATTCGGATGCGAGTAATCCTGCGCCTCCCATTCGCCATCGGACATAGTTTTGCGTCCTCGCAATCAATGCGCATATAGTATCGCCACGCCCTTTGTAAATTGTGCCCAGAAACTTCGGGACCCTGCAGTTTACTTCCGCTCAGCCCGTGCTCTACCGCTCTCTTGTTCTCTTTTGCGGACATTAGTATATTGCAATTGTTCGTCTGCTACAATCTCTTTTTTTTTGTTGTGAACGTCCGACACCTCGGAAGTCCGTCGTATATCCGCCACCTTTTTAGATCGCCCCAAACTACAACCGCAGCCAGAGCCCCGCCCACCTTCGTACCAATTCCCTCGACACCCATATCCTCGCCACCGTCATGTCTTTTTCTTCGCTCGTCTCAGACATTGCATACCGAAACTCGGAACGACCAGACCGACCGGATCTGCGCTCGCAGGTGTCAGAAGCACGCTCAACACGATCCTACGCTAGCACTGCTGCCACGAGCGTAAGCCTGACTGGCGACATCAAGAGTCAGTTGCATGGCGGATACAGCCACCCTTTGTCGCGAGCATGGCAGTCGGAGCGCCAGCTGACCAAGGTATGCTGGGAGTGACTTTTTTCGCTTCCAAAAAGCATTGCAGGAATTAACGCACAGCGCAGTCGATGCTCATCTTTCCCCTCTTTATTTCCGATCAACCTGACGAAGAGACGCTCATCCCCTCGCTTCCCAACATCCACCGCCGAGGTCTGAACAAGGTCGTGCCATACCTTACACCTCTTGTCGCAAAGGGCCTCAAATCGGTCATTCTGTTTGGCGTGCCGCTCGCGCCCGCTGCAAAGGACGCCCTCGGCACCAATGCAGATGACCCCAAGGGCCCTGTAATCAAGGCCATCCGCCTGCTTCGACGAGCATTCCCCGATTTGTTTATTGTTGCCGACGTCTGCTTGTGCGAATACACCTCACATGGCCACTGCGGTATCCTGCGCGACGACGGCAGTCTGAACAACGCTTTGTCTGTGGAGCGCATCGCCGATGTCGCTCTCTCATATGCGCAAGCCGGTGCGCACTGTGTTGCTCCTTCCGACATGAACGATGGCCGCATACGTGCAATTAAGCTGAGACTCATCGAGGCCGGAATCGCACACCAGGTCTCGCTCATGTCGTACGCCGCCAAGTTCTCGGGCTGCTTGTACGGCCCCTTCCGCGACGCTGCAGGCTCTGTCCCCTCATTTGGCGACCGAAGATGCTACCAACTGCCTCCTGGTGGTCGTGGTCTAGCGCGACGAGCCATTGTACGAGATATCGGCGAGGGCGCAGACATTATCATGGTCAAGCCTGCTAGTCAGTACCTGGACATTATCAGTGACGCAAAGGAAATCGGCAAGGATATGCCGATCGCAGCATACCAGGTTTCTGGCGAGTACGCCATGATTCACGCAGCAGCCGCCGCAGGTGTCTTTGAATTGAGACAGATGGCCGAAGAGGCGACTCAGGGTATCCTTCGAGCTGGTGCTTCGATAGTAGTCAGCTACTTTACACCCGAATTCCTCGACTGGCTAGAGAATTAAAGAGAAAACGGACAAAATGATGATCTTATTACTATGCGAGATTCACATTGCATGAAGGGCGATGGGAAGGCGTAAAAAGGCGTTTAATAATCTGCTTACGAGCCATTTGCAACGAATTGAAATTTCTCAAAACCACTCGAGCCGTATCAACTTACGAATTATATCTTCATTTCTTCCATCTCATCATGTCGATATACTTGTCCATCTCCCCAGATCGAATT